CATGTGAGTGCCGATCAATAACCTATCGATAACCCATCGATAACCCATCGATAACCCATCCATAACCCATCGATAACCCATCGGTGGTGATCAATAACCCATCCATAACCCATCCATAGTGATTGATCAATAACCCATTGATAACCTATCCATAGTGATCAATAACCCATCGATAACCCATCGATAACCCATCAATAACCCACCAATAAACCATCAATAACCCATCAATAACCCATTGATAACCGATCAATAACCGATCAATAACCCATCCCTAGCGATTGATCGATAACCCATCAATAACCCATCAATAACCCATCAATAAATGATCAATAACCCATCAATAACCCATCAATAATCCATCAATAACCGATCAATAACCGATCAATAACCCATCAATAATCCATTTAACTACGGCTAATTAAGGCCATTAATGAGCTAATTACGGCTAATCAAGGCTAATTAAGGCTAATTAAGGCCATTAATGAACTAATTAAGGCTAATTAAGGCTAATTAATGAACTAATCAAGGCTAATTAAGGCTAATTAAGGGTGGAAATTCCCACTGGGGGGATCAGGGAGGGTTATTGATCACCGATAATTTATCGATCCCTTATCGGATTGAACCCGCGATCGCTCCGGGGGGTTATTAATGATTATTAACGAGTTAATTAATGCTAATTACGGCTAATTAGTGCCATTAATGAACAAATTAAGGCTTTTTAAGAGCAGGAAAATGGCACTGGGGGGATCAGGGAGGGTTATTGATCACCAGGGAGGGTTATTGATCACCGATAATTTATCGATCCCTTATCGGATTGAACCCGCGATCGCTCCGGGGGGTTATTAATGATTATTAACGAGTTAATTAATGCTAATTACGGCTAATTAGTGCCATTAATGAACAAATTAAGGCTTTTTAAGAGCAAGAAAATGGCACTGGGGGGAGCAGGGAGGGTTATTGATCACCAATAATTTATCGATCCCTTATCAGATTTAACCCGCGATTGCTCCGGGGGGTTATTAATGATTATTAACGAGCTAATTAATGCTAATTAAGGCTAATTAGGGCCATTAATGACTTAATTAAGGCTAATTAAGAGTGGAAATTCCCACTGGGGGGAGCGGGGAGGGTTATTGATCACCGATAACTCATTGATCCCTTATCGGATTGAACCCGCGATTGCTCTGGGGGTTATTAATGATTATTAAGGAGCTAATTAATGCTAATTAATGCTAATTAGGGCCATCAATGAACTAATTAAGGCTAATTAGGGCCATTAATGAACTAATTAAGGCTTTTTAAGAGCCGGAAAATGGCACTGGGGGGAGCAGGGAGGGTTATTGATCACCGATAACTCATTGATCCCTTATCGGATTGAACCCGCGATTGCTCTGGGGATTATTAATGATTATTAACGAGCTAATTAATGCTAATTAGGGCCATTAATGACCTAATCAAGGCTAATTAAGGCTAATTAAGAGCAGGAAAATGGCACTGGGGGGAGCGGGGAGGGTTATTGATCACCAATAATTTATCGATCCCTTATCGGATTTAACCCGCGATCGCTCCGGGGGGTTATTAATGATTATTAACGACCTAATCAGTGCTAATTACGTCTAATTAGGGCCATTAATGACCTAATCAAGGCTAATTAAGGCTAATTAAGAGTGTAAATTCCCACTGGGGGGATCAGGGAGGGTTATTGATCACCGATAACTCATTGATCCCTTATCGGATTGAACCCGCGATGGCTCCGGGGGTTATTAATGATTATTAAGGAGCTAATTAATGCTAATTGCGGCTAATTAGGGCCATTAATGAACTAATCAAGGCTAATTAAGGCTTTTAAAGAGCAGGAAAATGGCACTGGAGGGAGCGGGGAGGGTTATTGATCACCGATAATTTATCGATCCCTTATCAGATTTAACCCGCGATGGCTCCGGGGGTTATTAATGATTATTAAGGAGCTAATTAATGCTAATTACGGCTAATTAGTGCCATTAATGAACAAATTAAGGCTTTTTAAGAGCAAGAGGAAATGGCACTGGGGGGATCAGGGAGGGTTATTGATCACCGATAATTTATCGATCCCTTATCAGATTTAACCCGCGATTGCTCCGGGGGGTTATTAATGATTATTAACGAGCTAATTAGCGCTAATTACGCCTGATTGCAGGCTGGAGAACTGCCAGTGGGAGGAGTGGGGCTCGCAGGTGTCGGTGGTGGCGCGGGACATGCGGGGCTGGGCGGCGCCGGAGCCGGCGGATCTGGTGGTGTCGGAGCTGCTGGGATCCTTCGGGGACAACGAGCTGAGCCCGGAGTGCCTGGACGGGGCCAGGGGGTGCCTGAAAGGTGGGAGAAAGTTCCGGAAAAATCCGGAAAAATCTGGAAAAAATCTGGGAAAAATCCGGGAATTCTTGGGAATTGTGGGGAAAAAAACCCGGGGAAAATCGGGGAAAAAATGGGGAAAAAATGGGGAAAAATGGGGAAAAAATGGAAATAAAATGGGAATAAAGTGGGGAAAAATGGGGAAAAATCTGGGGATTTTGGGGGAAAAAACCCGGGGAAAATCGGAGAAAAAATGGGGAAAAAATGGGGAAAAAATGGGGAAAAATTGGGGAAAAAATGGGGAAAAATTGGGGAAAAAATGGGGAAAAATTGGGGAAAATTGGGGAAAAAAATTGGGGAAAAATGGGGAAAAAATGGGGAAAAAATGGGGAAAAAATGGGGAAAAAATGGGGAAAAATTGGGGGAAAATTGGGGAAAAATTGGGGGAAAATTGGGGAAAAATTGGGGAAAAAGTGGGGAAAAATTGGGGAAAAATTGGGGAAAAAATGGGAAAAAAGGGGAAAAATTTGGGGAAAAAATGGGGAAAAATTGGGGAAAAATGGGGGAAAATTTGGGAAAAAATGGGAAAAAATTGAGATAAAAATTTGAAAAAAATGGGAAAAAAATGGGAAAAAAAATTGGAAAAAAATTGGAAAAAAATGGGAAAAAATTGGGAAAAATTGTGGCTAAATTGTGGCTAAATTTGGGCTAATTTGGGCTAAGTTGGGACTATTATGGGATGTTACCTTGGGCCAGCAGGGGCGGGTAGGGGACGTTGGGATCCACGGCATTGGCGAAGCTGCGCAGGGGATGGGTGGGACGGACGCAGGCGGTCGGGATGGTCCTGCTGGGAATTTCCTCGGGGTTGGGAAAAATGGGGAAAAATTGGGGAAAAAATGGGGAAAACATGGGGAAAAATTGGGGAAAAAATGGGGAAAAAATGGGGAAAAAATGGGGAAAAATTGGGGAAAAATTGGGGAAAAATTGGGGAAAAATTGGGGAAAAAATGGGGAAAAATTGGGGAAAAAATGGGGAAAAATTGGGGAAAAAATGGGGAAAAATTGGGGAAAAAATGGGGAAAAATTGGGGGAAAAATGGGGAAAAATTGGGGAAAAAATGGGGGAAAAATGGGGAAAAAATTGGGGAAAAATTGGGTAAAAATGGGGAAAAAATGGAAATAAAATGGGGAAAAAATGGGGGAAAAATGGGGAAAAAATAAGGAAAAAATGGGGAAAAATGGGGAAAAAATGGGAATAAAATGGGGAAAAATGGGGAAGAAATCTGGGAATTGTGGGGGAAAATTTGGGGATTCTGGGGAAAAAAACCCGGGGAAAATCAGGGAAAAAATGGGGAAAAATGGGGAAAAAATTGGGGAAAAATGGGGAAAAAATGGGGAAAAATGGGGAATAATGGGATCAGGAGCTGTCCCCAGAGTGCCTGGATGGGGCACGGGGGTGCCTGAAAGGTGGGAGAAAATTCCGGAAAAAATCCGGGAATTGTGGGAAAAATCTGGGAAAAATCCGGGAAAAATCCGGGAATTCTTGGGAATTGTGGGGAAAAAAACCCGGGGAGAATCGGGGAAAAAATGGGGAAAAAATGGGGAAAAATGGGGAAAAAATGGGAATAAAATGGGAGAAAAATGGGAATAAAATGGGGAAAAATTGGGGAAAAAATGGGAATAAAGTAGGAATAAAATGGGGAAAAAATGGAAATAAAATGGGGAAAAATCGGGAAAAAATGGGGGAAAAATTGGGGAAAAATGGGGAAAAAATGGGGGAAAAATGGGGAAAAATTGGGGAAAAAATGGGGAAAAATTGGGGAAAATTGGGGAAAAATTGGAGAAAATTGGGGAAAAATGGGGAAAAATTGGGGAAAAAATGGGAAAAAATTGGGGAAAAAATGGGGAAAAATTGGGGAAAAAATGGGGAAAAAATGGGAATAAAATGGGGAAAAATGGGAATAAAATGGGAATAAAGTGGGAATAAAATGGGGAAAAATGGGGAAAAAATGGGGGAAAAATGGGGAAAAATGGGGGGAAAATTGGGAAAAAATTGGGGAAAAATTGGGGAAAAAATGGGGAAAAAATTGGGGAAAAATGGGGAAAAAATTGGGGAAAAATGGGAATAAAATGGGGAAAAAGTGGGGGAAAATGGGGGAAAAATGGGGAAAAAATTGGGGAAAAATGGGAATAAAATGGGGAAAAATGGGGAAAAAATCTGGGAATTCTGGGGGAAAATTTGGGGATTTTGGGGAAAAAAATCTGGAGGAAATTGGATAAAAAATGGGGAAAAAATGGGGAAAAAATGGGGAAAAATGGGGAAAAATTGGGGAAAAATTGGGGAAAAATTGGGGAAAAATGGGGAATAATGGGATCAGGAGCTGTCCCCAGAGTGCCTGGATGGGGCACGGGGGTGCCTGAAAGGTGGGAGAAAATTCCGGAAAAAATCTGGGAAAAATCTGGGAATGGCAGGGGAAAATCTGGGAAAAATCCGGGGATTCTGGGGAAAAAAACCCGGGGAGAATCGGAGAAAAAATGGGGGAAAAATGGGGAAAAATGGGGAAAAAATGGGGAAAAATGGGAATAAAATGGGAGAAAAATGGGAATAAAATGGGGAAAAATGGGGAAAAAATGGGAATAAAGTGGGAATAAAATGGGGAAAAATGGGGAAAAATTGGGGAAAAAATGGGGGAAAATGGGGGAAAAATTGGGGAAAAATGGGGAAAAATTGGGGAAAAATTGGGGAAAAATTGGGAAAAAATGGGGAAAAAATGGGGGAAAAATGGGGAAAAAATGGGAATAAAATGGGGAAAAAAAGGAAATAAAATGGGAATAAAGTGGGGAAAAATGGGGGAAAAATTTGGAAATTGTGGGGAAAAATTTGGGGATTTGGGGGAAAAAAACCCGGGGAAAATCGGGGAAAAAATGGGGGAGAAATGGGGAAAAAATGGGGAAAAAATGGGGAAAAATTTTTCGATTCTGGGGAAAAAAATCTGGAGGAAATTGGAGAAAAAATGGGGAAAAAATGGGAATTTTTGGGGAAAAAACCTGGGATTTTGGGGTGAGAAAAATGGGAATTTTGGGTGGAAAATCTGAGATTTTGGGTGGGGAAAAATTGGGAATTTTGGGTGTGAAAAATGGGAATTTTGGGTGGAAAAAATGGGAATTTTTGGGGAAAAAAAAGGGGATTTTGGGTGGGAAAACTGGAATTTTTGGGGGGAAAAACGGAATTTTTGGGGGAAAAAAAGGGATTTTGGGTGGGAAAAATGGCTTTTTTGGGGAAAAAAATGGGAATTTTGGGGGAAAAAATGGGGATTTTTGGGGGGAAAATCTGGGAATTTGGGTGGGGAAAAAATGGGAATTTTGGGGGTAAAAAACGTGGATTTTGGTTGGGAAAAATGGAATTTTTGGGGGAAAAAAATGGGAATTTTGGGTGGGGAAAATGGATTTTTTGGGGGTAAAAACGGGAATTTTTGGGGGAAAAAATGGGAATTTTTGGGGAAAAAAACGTGGATTTTGGGTAGGAAAACCGGAATTTTTGGGGAAGAAAGGTGGATTTTGGGTGGGAAAAAAATGGGAATTTTGGGGTGAAAACCGGAATTTTTGGGGGAAAAAAATGGGATTTTTGGGGGAAAAAACGTGGATTTTGGGTGGGAAAAATGGAATTTTTTGGGGAAAAAAAGGGGATTTTGGGGTGGGAAAAATGGGAATTTTTGAGGAAAAAACGGGAACTTTGGATGGGGAAAAAAAAGGTGGATTTTGGGTGGGAAAACCGGAATTTTGGGGGGAAAAAAGTGGATTTTGAGTGGGAAAAAAATGGGAATTTTGGGTGAGAAAACCGGAATTTTTAGGGGAAAGAAACGGGAATTTTGGGGGTTAAAATCTGGGATTTGGGGTGGGTTAAAAATGGGAATTTTTAGGGGAAAAATGGGAATTTTTGGTGAAAAAAATGGGAATTTTTGGGGAAAAAACGGAATTTTGGGGGGAAAAACGGGAATTTTTGGGGGAAAAAGGTGGATTTTGGGTGAGAAAAATGGGAATTTTTTGGGAAAAAAAGTGGATTTTGGTTGGGAAACCGCGGGAATTTTGGGAATTTTGTGG